GATCCCAGCGTCCTGGGATCGAGTCCCACATCGGGCTCCTTGCTCATCGGGGAGCCTGCTTCTCCCTCTGCCTCTGCCTGCCATTCTGTCTGCCTGTGCTTGCTCTCTCTCCCTCTCTCTCTCTGACAAATAAATAAATAAAATCTTTAAAAAAATAAAATAAAATAAAATAAAAAATAAATAAAAAATAAAAATGAACCACAGCCAGAACACTGAATTGGATTCTTTGGCTGAGATCACCTCTGCCTAACTTAGTGTGACAGAAACTAGGTGGGAAGAAGCAGGACTCACTGGGCACAGGTGAGTGCGGACAGTCCAGGACGGCCCAGGGATCAGGCAGCAATGGGGCCTCAGTAGGAGGAACCGCTCTATGCTTTTCCTGAGCACTTTGCTGAAATGAATGCTGCCCAGTTCTATTTTCTCTTGCCTGTCGCCACACTCACCATTTGAAATCCTAGGACGAGAACAGTCGTCCATGATTAGGTTACAGCCAGGAGCTAAACTCGGGTGGTGACAGGAAGTAAGCAGTGGAAGGAGCTTCCGAAAGACATTTGGGTTTCCAAAGTGGGAGGGCAAGGTGCCTGCTTCTCTACTCCTGTCAAGTCTGTGCTCCTCTAGGGAGAGGCAACCTCCCAAAATGAAACTGGGGTCCTCTTATCCAAGAGGAATGGATGCTGAATTTAAAGAATTACACATATTCCCCTTAGGTTTTACGTGATAAAGTACGTTAAATGGATCAAAGAATTATTCAGATGAAAAGTATTGGGGCGCCTGGGTGGCTCAGTTGGTTAAGCAACTGCCTTCGGCTCAGGTCATGATCCTGGAGTTCCGGGATCGAGGCCCACATCCGGCTCCCTGCCAAGCAGGGAGCCTGCTTCTCCCTCTGACCTCTTCCCTCTCATGCTCTCTTTCTCTCTCATTCTCTCTCTCCCAAGTAAATAAATAAAATCTTAAAAAAAAAAAGAAAAGTATGAATTAAGTGGATTTTCCTGAAAAGCAAGAAAGATTGAAAATAAGGGAACTAAGATTTCAACTCAAGAAGGTAGGAAGAGAACATGAAAATAAGCTCAAAACATGAAGAATTATTTTTTTTAAAGATTTTATTTATTTATTTGTCAGAGAGAGAGAGAGAGAGAGAGCACAGGCAGACAGAGTGGTAGAGGGAGAAGCAGGCTCCCTAAGGAGCAAGGAGCCCGACGCGGGACTCGATCCCAGGACCCTGGGATCATGACCTGAGCCGAAGGCAGCCGCTTAACCAACTGAGCCACCCAGGCGTCCCAAAACATGAAGAATTATTAAAAGTGGAAGCAGACATTCATCATCAAACAGAAAAAAAAGCCAGCAATTGTCTAGTAAAACTAATCAATCTGGTTCTTTGACTAGTCCAATAAAAGAGACTAATCTTTGGCAAGTCCAGTGAGGGAAAAAGAGGAGGTGGGGAGAGGGAGAGAGAGAAAAGACAAGGGCTCATAAGCGCAAAATGGAGATTTTAACAAATGATAAGAGTAAACATATTCAAACCTGCCAAATAAATTTGAATAGCCACATGCAAGATATTCTATGAGAAACTACCAACTACCAACACTGACTCAAGAAACCTCGAAAGACCAAAAATCATAGAAATTGGAAAGGTAGTCCAGAAGCTATCCCCCAAATGGCATCCAGTCCAGATGGTTTTATAGGTGAATTCCACCAACCCTGCATTGAATGGAAAATCCCTGTGATCTCTAACTTTTCCAGACAATATAAAATTTTCCAACTTAATTATTAAAGCCAGCATAACTCTGGTAACAAAGCGAAACAAACAAACAGAAAAAGGCAAAGCCCCTCAAAAGAAATCTATGAGCCACTTCTATTTTCTAAGTTAGATGGAAAAACCTCTAAGTAAAATGTGAGCAAACCAACCTAGTATTGAAAGAATAATTCCTGGGGCACCTGGGGGGGGCTCAGTCATTAAGCGTCTGCCTTTGGCTCAGGTCATGATCTCCTGGGATCGATCCCTGCATCGGGCTCCCTGCTTGGCAGGAAGCCTGCTTCTCCCTCTCCCTCTCCCCCTGCTGGTGCTCTCTCTTTGGCTGTCTCTCTCACTCTCTATCAAATAAATAAAATCTTAAAAAAAAAAAAATTCCTATTGGCCAAGTAGTGTTCATTCCAAGCATTCAAAGATGCAAAATTAGGGAGCCACTGGGTGGCTCAGTGGGTAAAGCCTCTGCCTTCAGCTCAGGTCATAATCTCAGGGTCCTGGGATCGAGGCCCACATCAGGCTCTCTGCTCAGTGGGAAATCTGCTTCCCTCTCTCTCTGCCTGCCTCTCTACCTACTTGTGATCTCTGTCTGTCAAACAAACAAATAAAATCTTTTTTTAAAAAAGGGCGAAATTAGAAAAAAAAAATTCAGAACGTTGCCATGTGAGGAATGTGAAACACAGATCACGCAGATCACATCAGTAGGTTCCAAACCAGAGGAATCCCTTTTCTGCGTCTGCAAAAGCCTTCCATTTAGCAATGTTTGGAGCAGCCAAATCGGGCTCCTATACAGAAGCTAAAGTCACCAGACTTGGTTTCCCAGACTTCCTTGCAACCGGGTCACAGGCGTATGACTAATCTGAGTGACACCCAGACTTTGAACGGGAGCTGGCCCCACAAAGGAGGAGGGGGGTCCGGGATCCCCTCTGCGCAGGGAGGTCGTGGTGACACGGAGTCTCCACGGCTCAAGCAGTGTGGGCTTCGGGGACCTGGTCTTGGAGCAGGAGCAGGTTCTGCTCACCCAACTGGTTCTGCCACTTCTGCTCCGGGCTCCGCAGTTCCCAGTCTGGTTCTCTGGCCCTTACTGGGAAGTCTGTGAATGCTGAACAAATAAATTCCTTTTCATCCTAAACTCACCAGGACATTCTCTGTTGCCTACAAGGAGAAACCCTAATACCAGTATATCAACAATCAGCACCCCTAAGGCCCCACACGCCTCCTCATGGCCTCTCTCCGCAGCCTCTCCCTATACTTCCCGATGCTCGCGTCCTCGTGTCGCCCGCGTTCTCAAGGACTTCTTGTGGTCGGCAAAGTATATAAATGTCAAGTGTTGGAGTAACTTACATTTGGTTCAAGTGTCCCCAGTGGGGAAGTGAGCAGACAGTAGCAGACTCACGTGGTTGTATGATGTCCCTTCCAGGGGACAGGAGGAGGGACATTTTAATCATTGGAAGGGGTGATGGACCAACAGACACGGTGGCTGATTTGCTGAAACAGGGCACCTCACTTGGTCTCGGGAAGTTTGGTTCTGTTTTCAAGTCATCTCTACACCCAACGTGGGGCTCGAACTCATGACCCCAAGATCAAGAGTCACATGCTCTACCGACTGAGCCGGCCGGCCAGGTGCCGCGGTGCTGGGCGGTCTTAAAAGGCTTTCCAGGTAAGTACAGGTTGGGCACAAGGTGTGGAAGGGGTGAGAAGACAGTCCAGGCACAGGAAAGAAAGAAAGAAAAGGGTCTCCCGGAGTGAAAGGTGGAGTGGAGCGCTAAGAGACGGGGCTGGACTCGTGGGCAAGGGTCAGATCACACAGGACCTCGGAGGCCATGTCAGGGAGGCCCTGTAGGCAGTTCTGGAAGACCACTCCGGTCGGGGATGGGGAGAAGGGAGGTCAGGGCGTCAGGAGACCAGCTGGGAGAATGTTGCTGTGAAGCCGGAGAGAAGAGCTGGTGTCCCAGACTTGGCATGGAGGCAGCGGGGACGAAAAGAAGCGGATTTGGGAGAGATCAGGAGGTAAAACCAGTAGGACTTGGTGGCAGGTTGGATGGGGGGTGAAGAAGGGAAGGGGCAAGGATGACCGTCAGGGATTCTATTTGTACTGCCTGAGTGTCTGAGTGCGGGGGGCGGTGACTGTGCTGTTCACCGGGTCGGACAACACAGGCGGATCAACTATTTGGAGAGATGATGAGCTTAGCTTTGAACATGTAGTTTCAATGCTCTTGGGACATCCAGGGAATCCAAAAGGCAGAGGGACCTGGGTGTTTGGGTCTCCGGAGAGGGGTCTGGGTCAGAGCAGAGGTGAGCCACTGGGGCGGGTGTATGGGGTTTGACAGGAAGGGAATGAACGAGGGCAATGTTGAGTGTTCGTGGAGCACAAGAAAAGGAGAGATTCAAAGACCGAGCTCGGGGGGGAGCCTGGCTTTCCACGAAGGACAGAGGAAGGGGAATCTACAGAGACTGAGAAAGGCCAGAGAAGTCAGCGGGAAATGAGTGGCCTGAGTGCCAAGGTTGGAGAGGCCGTGGGTATGCAGTGCAGAAAGCGGGTAAGATCATAATGGGAAGTGTCCGGCAGCTACAGAGGGGTGGGGGGCGCTGGTGACCTCGACCACAGTGGAGCCAGTGGGTTGGGGGGACCCGTGCTAGAGAGGGGGAAGGTGGAGGGCGGTCAGGGTTAAAATTGGCAACTGTGAAGGGGAAGCAAGTGGCAGCCAGAGACTGGGCTCGGAGGTAGTTGGAGGAGTCCGCTCCCAATCCACCCCATGGAGATGGGAAGTGGGAGAAAGAGAGCCACAGGGAGGGCTGGGGACGGTTGTGGAAGGAGGTGATAAGGGCCTGTGTCCGGGAGGGCCACTGTTCCCGGGTCACAGGAGGGAGTCCCTATCGGGCCGGCATTTCCTCCCCATGCCCATCCCCTTCCTGCCCCTGCCTAGGCTCTCCGTGGAGCTGGAAGAGAGCAGGGCAGAGTCACACCCTGTGAGCAGCTCTGTGCCCTCGGAGGTCCTTCTGCCTGCCTGTAAGCTTGAGCTGGGGCCGGGGGTCGAGGCCGCTGAGGCACAGATAAGAATCTAGAACGTGGGGCCGTGGGGCCGTGGGGCTAGCAGTTTAGGCTTCGGGGGGCAAGGGTGGGAGAGGGCAGTGGGGAGGACAGGAGCTGGGGTTGGGTTTCTGGTGGGTGCGCTGCAGCAGGGGCTCGAATCTGGGGGAATGATGCCCAGCGCCCACAAGGTGCCCACTCATGTCCCCCCGCCCCCAGGTCCCCATGCCTCTCCTCTTGCTGCTGCTCCTGCTGCCACGCCTGTCGTACCCCCAGGAGGTCTGCGAGGTCTCCCAGGTGACCACCCTGATGGAAGTGAACTGTGACAACAGGGGCCTGAAGGTGCTGCCCGCGAATCTGCCGGGCAACACGGCCATCCTCCACCTGAGCGCGAACCCCCTGGGCGCCTTCTCCACAGCATCTGTGCAGTCTCTGACCCGGCTGGCGCGGCTGTACCTGCGTCAGAGCCAGCTAACCAGCCTGCAGCTGGAGGGGACGCTGCCTCGGCTGGAGAAGCTGGTCGTGTCCCACAATAAGCTGAAGAGCCTGCCCTTGCTGGGACAGGCACTGCCAGCCCTCGCCATCCTGGACGTCTCCTTCAATGAGCTGACCTCGCTGTCTCCCGGCACTCTGAGCGGCCTGGGTGGGCTCCGCGAGCTCTACCTGCGAGGAAACAAGCTCAAGACTGTGCCCCCGGGGCTCCTGCGGCCCGTGCCCCAGCTGGAGAAGCTCAGCCTGGCCGACAACAAGCTGAATGAACTGCCCCTGGGGCTCCTGGACGGGTTGGGGACCCTGGACACCCTCTACCTCCAAGGGAACTGGCTGCGCTCCGTACCCAAGGGCTTCTTTGGGAATGGCTTCCTGTCTTTCACTTTTCTCCACAACAACCCCTGGTCCTGTGACTGTGAGATCCTCTATTTTGCTCGCTGGCTGGACAGAAACTCTGACAAAGTCTACTTGTTCAAAGAGGGTGAAGACGCCAAGGCCATGACTCCCGACGTGGCGAGCGTGCGATGCGTCAACTTGGCCAACATACCCGTCTACACCTACCCAGGGAAGGGTTGCCCCAGTCTTGGGGATGAGGATGACCTAAGCTATGATGACTACGATAACGAGGAAGAGGTGGGAAAGGTCTCTGCCACGCGGGCTGTGGTCAAGTTCTCCACAAACACCAGAGCCCACACAACGCAGTGGGCCCCGCCGCACTCAGCATCCGCGGCTCCCCCACACCGCCACGTGCCCCATCCGCCTTCCACCCTCGTGTCTGTGAAGAACCAGAGCCTGTTCCCTACCGCGCCAGAGCCCAGGACGCCCATCGCGCCCCACCCCCCACCCCCCACCCCCCTAAAGCCCACCATGTCCCACCCCACACCCTCCACCATGCCCCAGCCCATGACCTCGACCACCCCAGGGCTCATCACGACTTCTACCACGCCCCCGACCGCCCCAGAGCCTACCACGACCTCCACCATGGCCCCCACCACCCCACAGCCCCCCATCACAATTCCAACCACCCCAGGGCTCAGCACAACTTCTACCACGCCCCCGACCGCCCCAGAGCCCACTACCCCCACCACCACCCCAGAGCCCATGACGACTCTAATTCTCTCTGAACTGACCACATTCTTTGAGATCCCAAAATTAACCTCACTCCCTACCATCTTGGGATACCCAGTAAGCCCCTCATCTGTCCACCTCCCAGGGGCCCACGAGGGGGTTCGAGGGAATCTGGAGAGCTCCAGAAACGACCCTTTGCTCAACCCTGACTTCTGCTGTCTCCTCCCCCTGGCCTTCTATGTGCTGGGTCTTCTCTGGCTTCTGTTTGCCTCTGTGGTCCTCATCGCGCTGCTGGCCTGGGCCAGGCACGCAGAGTCACGGGGCCCAGCCACACACACGACACATCTGGAGCTTCAGAGGGGAAAGCAAGTGACCATGCCCCGGGCCTGGCTGCTTTTCTTTCAAGGGTCCCTCCCTACTTTCCGCTCCAGCCTCTTCCTGTGGGTACGGGCTAACGGCCGCGTGGGGCCTCTGTGGGCAGGACGACGGCCCTCGGCCCTTAGTCTGGGTCGGGGTCAGGACCTGCTAGGCACAGTGGGCACTAGGTACGCAGGCCACAGTCTCTGAGGGTGAGCGGTTTGGGGACCTGCAGAGGCTGTGATGGCTTTTCTCCTCAGATCTAGGTGGGGGTGGGTGGGCAAGGAGTATGGGGTCGGGGGGGAGGACTTCATCACTTTTCCTTTACCAGAAACCTCCTCTTCACAGCACATGCACAACCTCGGCGGGACAGCAGGGGTGGAGAGGAGCGGTGGGTCACAGAACAAAGCTCCCGGGTTCCGGGACCACTAGGTCATTACCGTCATTACCGTCACCTTGGGGGAAGTTTGAGGAAAAAGCAAAGCGAACAGAGCGGGATTCTCACACGCATACATGGGAGGGAACTGGGAAAGTGCCGTATGGAGACGGGGGCCCTGATAGTCCCTGGGGAGCACAAACATGGTGGTTTCCTTTTCTTTCCTCCTGTTGGGCATTTCCTAGTTTTCCACCCTTGTATGGAATTTGCAGAGTAAAAAAATTACCAAAAAACCCGTGTTTCCTCCGGAGACCAGAGTGCCTGGGGGGCTATCACTTGCATGACTGAACCCCACCTGCCCCTGCCCGAGTTGGCTCCCTCACCCACAAAAGCGCACCCGCGGCCTGGGGTGCCCCCTCTTCCTGGGGGGCCAACCACCAGGCCACCGCGAGCACTAGTTCCAGCTCTACACCCTAAGTCTTCCTGGAGCGGCCACTCCTGAGGCGCACCGGCCCCCTGGCACCCAGGAGCCAGGTGGGCACCCGCCCCACGCCTGCCT